TGAATTGGAGAGGATTTGGAAGCTAGTGGTGCCATAATCGAGGTGCTGTCCCGGAAATTTCATGAAGGTACTGGAAAAACCACAAAAGACTTTTACAGGATAATCTGTGTCCTGGTCGACAGAACCGACACCTCCCGAATACAAGACTTGAGTGTTACCGCTACGCCATCTTGTTCGGTGACTTTAATATTATCTTTCCGTCTGCGGTTACATCTTCCAAAAAGTCTCTTCACCTTTTCAGGCCAAATTTTATAATTTTGTATCTGTCCTGTGTATGTTACGTGCCCAGCCCACGTATATCTACCCGTAAGGTACAGTGCCCAGACTACAGAGTGCAGTAGCTCTGTGCCGTTCACAAGAAATGTCACCCCACGGATGAGCTCTGTGTGGCCCCTACGGGGGCGTATTGAGACCAGGGGCCCCCTGGCGTGCGAATATCACTGCCAACTTTCCCCTATTTTTTCTCTTGTATTCCGAACCGAACAGTGAAGGAAAGGTGACGTAATGCTGCCGTGTAATGACAGAGCTGAATAAATATCACTTACGTGCAATTGCGGACTTTTTCTAGACCTGAAATACAGGCTGAATGCTGTAAACCTGAAATCCTTCAGGACCTGGGGAACACCAGGTTAATAGATCTGTCGTAATATAACCCCATCCCCCAAGAATGTCCCTTTTACGTTATGTTAGTTGTCAGAAAATGTAGACTCTAGGAAGTCGACTTTAACCATGAGGATTGAGTTGGTCTGTCGGAAACTAATCTAAATCGTCACGGCTCTGAATACCTGAAATCCCAAGCTGAGAGCGGTGCGGTTAGGTCCTGTGCAGATTACACCAAATTCTGTAGAAAATAACCTGTTACGAAACCTTCTGCCGAGGCTCGTGTGGACTACACGCATCCTCACACCTCGACACCGTTTGGAGACCTCGCCCCGAATGCACTGGCAACAAGGGCCCGGGGTTCACTGAGTTCACTCACAGAACATACCCTTCTGGCTTACTTAGGCCAATCTTTGTTAGCCCTAACAGTGTTTTACCTGCAGCCCCCCCCCTCCACAAGGGATCCTCAGCCAATGTATGTCTGATATAAAATATGTCTAGAAAAACAGGCTGTTAGTAGCCACAGACAAGTAACGAAACCAGTAAGAGAGATACGTATAGCATGATGAGCCCATTTTTGACGCAAGTTTGGACCATACTAGTGAGCCAAGGATATGCGAATAAATCCCATGTTTTATAAACAGGGATGTTATTTTGGGCGTTTTCCGTCCTCTTCAGTGTTTTCTTCAGACGCAACGTTCCGGAAACTAAAAGCATTAACCGCTTGGTCTTTTTTAGTGGAGAGACAGTGTGCTGGTATTTACGTGAGCTGCAGGGTTGACGTCCTGTCAGCATCCCTCTTCACTTGCCCTCACAGCGAACTTCGGTAGGAGATCCGACGCATCATCCAGATAGGCCTGAAGGGAAGACAAATTGTTCTTACATTCTCTTATTACATATGATTTCCACTGTCGTTTTCAATGCAACGGTCAGCCGGTCAGTAAGGGAAATAATTGCTATTTATTGTTGTAAAGGCATGAAACACATAAATACATATATGTTTTTAACGGTAAATTAGTCGGTACTTTACAGTGACCACTGTGCTTGAAAGGGTTAATGTGCTTGTCAGGAGCTACTAGTTTCCCACCCCCAAATGTCTGTAACCTTTACGTGTGGCGTGCCGTACAGATGGAGTCGAGCTCGTGACCTGAAGATGAGACTGATATGTGAAACCACAGCCTCGGCATACCATTATCTGTGCGGTGTGGTGGGGATAGCCCTTGGTATTCTCCTCAAACAATGCAACGTCAACAGCATGAAGCGTGGAACACTCTGTCGGCCAGTTGGGGAAAGTAAGAGGTTAGCTCGTGGTGAAGGAAATAAACCGCTTTGGAAATCTAATCATGGATAGGTCAGTACAATTAGCATTTAAAGCACCACCTGCTTTAACATACTGGAACCTTGCATTCTGCCCACAGAATGTATCTGTATGTTGCGTATGGTTCTCACAGTAAACAGCGACTGTTTCCCTAAGCAGCATTAACCGGTTGGGCTTTGTAACGGAGACGTAATGTGTTTCCTGTGAGGTACGGGCTGAATTGCTATATATTCTGCCCACACAGTGTATCTGTATGTTCCGTATGGTTCTCACAATAAACAGCGACTGTTTCCCTAAACAGCATTAACCAGTTGGGCTCTGTAGCGGAGACATGTTTCCTGTGAGGTACGAACTGAATTGCTGTATATTCTGCCCACACAGTGTATCTGTATGTTCCGTATGGTTCTCACAATAACCAGCGACTGTTTCTCTAAACAGCATTAACCGATTTGGCTCTGTAGCGGAGACATGTTTCCTGTGATGTACGAACAGAATCCTTATATGCTGTTTAGATTAATTTCAGGTTTCCAAAGGTTAAAAGGATTCGGATCATTCACCATGCCGCAAGCGAGATAAGTCGGTCTTTATTCAGTATATGCCGTTTGTGTGTGGCATTATCAGTGTGCTGACACTCTGAGCTACAATATACAGCATCGTCTTAAAACACAAAACAAAGTGATGATTTCCTTTTAAAGGGCTAAAAAATAGGTTTTGAGCGTGTGGACTGGATTCTTCTGACCTGGGATAGTGACCAGTGACGGGCTCCTGTGAACATGGTAGTGAACCTTCAGGTTTGATGAAAGGCGGGGAATTTGTTGACTATCTTTGTGACTATTAGCTTCTGATGAAGGGCTGTGGTCCATGCGGGAACCCTATTACTGTGAAGTGGCCAGTATTGCAAAACGAAGTAACTTATGCGTCACATAACAGCTGAGCGACCTATAGCGTCTCAGGTGGCCATTTCCAGAAACTGCAGTTACCCACTAATCATAAGACTGAGCCGTCTCTTGCGACAAGCCTGTAGCCTGACACATCGGAGCAAATGCTTGTAACGCATTCCGTCCCGGAACATCCATAAAAAGGTTGGGTACATGCTGTGAGGTTCTTTTTCGGAGATGGAGTAGATGTAAACCCCCTGTCCTGTGCACTGCGTTTCGTCGATTTGCGGGGGGAACATTTAAGCTTAGGGCCCATTTCATCCAGTTTCTCTGCAATGAACGCTTGGCGTTTCGATTAGCTTTTTTCCTTTTGTTTCACTGAAAATGAACTCGACGCCTGACTTGAACATTCTGCCGACAACAGAACATATGGAGCATAATCTTCGTATGTAAGAAAAAGTAAAGCTGTTCCTGTAACGGCCCACAGGGTTGGGAGACGTCGTGGCTCCCACATTTTCTAGACAATCGGCTCACAGATCGCGGTGAGGTTGTCAGCCTTACGTGCCGGTCGCCCTTTACCCCCAGGAAGATTCCTGGTACTCATTTCCGTTAGAGACTGAGTCGGCCCCAGAGCCATAGTGCGGCTGGAAGGATCAGATCGATTGAGAAAAAATAATGACCTCTTCGGAAATCGAACCCGCGACCTTCCGGCTTGTAGCACAATGCCTTAACCAACTACACTACCGCGTGCCTCACTCATGGTATATTTTGTTTTTAATGTGTTAGGCCATAAGCTTGTCTATTCCGCTAGCAGCTGTGATGTCGACAGGACTGCAGGAGCGTCCGACGATGTGCGGGAGGCCCTCTGAGATGTGGCACTCTGTGCCGAACACACCAGTGACTCGTGTGGTTCTTCACCTTTGCTGACCTTTTACCTTCTAGGACCCGTGCGTTGTCGTGACCAATCAGGCCTTCCATTATGGGACTGTCGGCTGGTAATTAAGTCACTTTTGGTTTCTCTCGATTCGACATGCATGAATGGCACTCGAAATGCGCAGTCAGCACAGCAGTGCTGTGCATAGTGAGCGCATCACCGGATCCAGAGTCTTAATGTGTCTTCTTGCAAGGAGCACAGCCCAACATTTCGTACTTCCGAAACACAGCTCACAGTTTAACCGTTAAAGCAGACTGGTTTCTTTGTGTACCACCTACTTTAACCTAAAAAATGTTCCGGTCTGCCCGCAGAGTGTATTTGTGTGTTCCGTATGGTTCTCACAGTAAACAGCGACTGTTTCCCGAAACAGCATTAACCGGTTGGGCTCTGTAGCGGAGACGTAATGTGTTTCCTGTGAGGCACGGAATGAATTGCTGTATATTTTGCCCACGCAGTGTATCTGTGTGTTCCGTATGGTTCTCACAGTAAACAGCGACTGTTTCCCGAAACAGCATTAACCGGTTGGGCTCTGTAGTGGAGACGTAATGTGTTTCCTGTGAGGCACGGAAGGAATTGCTGTATATTTTGCCCACGCAGTGTATCTGTGTGTTCCGTATGGTTCTCATAGTAAACAGCGACTGTTTCCCGAAACAGCATTAACCGGTTGGGCTCTGTAGCGGAGACGTAATGTGTTCCTGTGAGGCAAGGAATGAATTGCCGTATATTTTGCCCACGCAGTGTATCTGTGTGTTCCGTATGGTTCTCACAGTAAACAGCGACAGTTTCCCGAAACAGCATTAACCCGTTGGGCTCTGTAGCGGAGACGTAATGTGTTTCCTGTGAGGTACGGACTGGGTTGCTATATATTCTGCCCAGTTGGATGACCAACAAACCTTTGCCCCTCCACAATATAGATCTAAATTTATCAATACTTAAACACTTAGAACACTTCGAAAATACGATACACAAATGTTTGATGCTCATCCAAATTATGCAAAAAAAATGTAGAAACACATGTAAACTTTTAAAATAAAGCGAGAGCACAGATAGGGTCTAATGTTAGGGTTCGTGTATTTAAGCCGGACTGCTGGCTAGAAGTCAGTTTGTATCCGGAAGGTCCTGCGACCGGCCAGCTCGACCAAGGTTTTCCATGGTTTTCCTCGGTCCTAGAGCAAATGCTGAGTTGGTACCCAAATTGCACTGCATGCCTCACTGCAGCCCTCTNTGATTTGCTATATATTCTGCCCACACAGTATATCTGTATGTTCCGTATGGTTCTCACAATAAACAGCGACTCTTTCCCTAAACAGCATTAACCGGTTTAGATTTCTAATGGCGAAATCGTGTCTTCTGTCGAATAGGCACTGAATGCTTGAGGCAGTTAATAACGAATTCTCAAACGTTCGATCGAAACTATTATTTTGAAAACAGTTTATTTTTGTTCGTGTTTGTGCACGCGAATGGCGTGTTTGCGCTCATCAACTCTGTCACTACGTAGACTACGGTATATAGCATCGAATGAACGATGAATCGAAAGGGATCTGAAAGGAAGCTTTCGTGGCTTAATTGAGATTCTGTCCCGACATGTGCCTAATAGATAGGCGGACTATGTAGCACGCAGTGGAGAGCTGAAACTGCACACAGAGTTTTGATCTAAGACGTGAGTGAAGAGACCGCCAGGAAGACGAAAGGATAACATTAAGGCAGATCTGAGGGAAGTGTGATGGGAGGGTATGGGCTGCATTAATTTCACTTGGGATAGGAATCAGTGGAGGGCTGTTGCGACCACGGCGATGAACTCCGGATAATGCCATCAATGTGAAGAGTAGTGGCTTACAAGGTATGACATCCTGTGGCCTTGTGTGTTACACCTATACCCTGAAGATGTAGGCAGTCAGTTGCTCAGAAATTTTGGTTCGATTGTACTTGACCACCCGGCATGACGGTCCATAGGTCAGTAATATTCACGGCCAACTGTCTGGCCATGTGACCCGTTAGCGGTTTCTCAAGGACGTTGCTTCTTGAGGTTGATTGGTTAGTTAGTTTAATATTCTATGTTGCCCTTTATAAGCCCAAATGTTTTCTTGGGCACATTTAGTTCCGTCCTGCGCTGGGTTTCACTTCTAATGACACTCGCATGGCAGAACGGGAGAATCTCTGAACTCCGGACTTCAGGGGAAGAATATTTGGGTGACAGTTCGACGCGCCATCCGTTGTTGACCCCCGTCAGCAGAACGTCGCTTCCTGGCCATTGACACCTCTATCTCGGAATTAACCTCAACGTCAGATTGCCGTCTGGGGCGTACATGAAGGTCACTTTGTATTCCAGCGGCTTGTGATGATATTCCAGGCGATATGACCGGATAAGCTGCAGACAGAAGCAAATGTAGACTGTTAGCAGAAGTAAAGCACAACGGTAACTATATGTACCATCTACGTTAACACAAGCTGTCCACGCTTGTCGTGCAGGCGGGGTGCGGCTGCACTGGCGCATGCTTAGAGGGGCCCGATCTGCACTGCACTGCACTGGCGACAGCAAGAGCCGATATTGCATTGACTTGCCTTTGCTAAGAGAATCTGAATTTCGAGGTCGGCGAACCGCCGTCCTAGGCACATCCTCGCGCCATGTCCATAGGGTAGTGACGCGAACGGGTGAATGCGGTACTGCGAGTCACCGGGACCCTTCAGCCACCTTTCGGGCAGAAACTCTGCTGCCCTGTTCACGTGCTCCTCCATGTTGCCTGTCACGATGGTGGGGAACACCACCTGCACCTGTTGGAACACAGCAGCACAATATGCCATCTGACAGTCGCTTAGTTGGTCAAGAGTTCCCAGCCCTATACGGTTCAGTGGTGTATTGAAACCCTTATATAAGGAACAGGGTGCTGAAGGGAGAGCAGGTGACTTGCATAATGGCTTAGCTCTTGGCGAGATATTATCAGAGTGGTCAAATCAAGCAGGTTAAGATTAGTGGAGTGTGTAGCATGTATGGGATCGATCAGAAATCAGTACAAAATTTTACTCGGAAAAACAAAAGGGAAAGATAGTACTTGCTGAAGATTTGGGCGTAGATGGGAGGTTAACATTAAAATCCATCCTGACGAAGTAGGGTGTGGACCTGTGGGCTAGATCTATGTGGCTCAGAGACCAGAGTGAGGCCGTTGGTGAGCACGGTAATGCATTTTCGGGTTCCATAAAATGTGGGCCATTACTTGAGTTCCTGGAGGACTGCCCTCCAAGGAGTTAGTTTCTGGTTTCCCAATCGAAATAGCATGAATACTTTGACACTGTGCTTCAGTCATTGAAAACACGTCACTCTTCTTCATTTTAGGACAATTTTCGCATTTCAGATGATATAACATGGACATGTTGGATAATTAATTAATAATGACTTGGAAAAGGCATGGAAGGAAGCGATCGTGGCCTGATAGAGGTACTGCCCTAAAAATTTCCTCGGAGGGACTGAGGAAAACCAGGTTAGAACGTAGCGTTACCGCTACGCCATCCCGCTCCGTAAGGTTGCTCGTGCGCACAGACTCACCCCTTTCGGTATGCGGTAGCCGCTTATGACCGTGTCGCTCTGCAGGGTGCGCCCGTTGCCGATCACTGTAGAGTACATCCTGGGGGGAACACACCACTTGGGTAAACAGTCATAACAGCGAGTTCATCGCGAAATTAATGTTCTCAGACCATTTTATTTCTAGAATATATCTCTAGAAGTATATTGACCTTTTGGAACACGTTGGTAACTCTATTTACCACCTGTTTTAACATTAAATAATACTGTATTTCGCCCACACAGTGCATTTATATGTTACATATTACTTTCAGAATAAACAGCGGTTATCTCTATAAAAATACTAACGAAATGTTTACTGTAATGAAAATGAAGTGTGTGATTTATGAATTGAATTTTAACCATTTGTTATGTGAACTTCAGACCTCAAAGGAACAAAGAAAGAGGAATTACTGTATGGCTGAGTGGCATGTAAAAAGTAATTTATGTATTCAATTATCACTTCGACATGTTTGTTGATGATGGAAAGCTGAGATGAAAAATTTGCGTGCTGTAGAACATGTGGAGACATCTACCTGAAGACTTCCTTAACGAACGCGCGGAGATACAGCATCTGGTCCAGATGTCTCGAGGTGAGCGGAGTGTCGACAGATGGCAGCACTCGTAACAGTTCCTCGTGAATCTTTTCCTGCTCGTCCGGTCGTGTCGCTAGTTGATACAAGATGGAGCATACAGCCATAGAGATCTGTAAAGTTAACAGTCGAACTCGTAGCCCCTAAAGGGTTCTGACGATAGTGGATGACACACAGAATTACAGCGTTTTTGGACTCCCCCCGCCCCTGGCAATACAGCCCCAGTGGGCCTAGGCCTACCTCCATGAACTTCTCCGTTCACGTCGGTTTTTCTAGATCTTACACATTCGGTAGGACTCCTTGGGCGGGTGATCAGCTCGTCGCAAGGCCTCTACCTGTACACAAACACAGAAAAACGCACACACACAAACTAAACATCCATGCCCTGAGTGGGATTCGAACCCACGATCCCGGTTTCCAAGCGAGCGAAGACAGTACATGCCTTAGACCTCTCGGCTACCGTGACCGACTTGGACTTTTTCCATCGTCTGGAATTCTAGGTAGTAGACACGATGTTTCGGAAACTGAATCTGCTTCCGTCTTCAGGTGAGAAAGGAAGACAAATACTCAGTTGGGTCCCTTAGAAAGAGTGTCCTCTATTACCTAGAATTCCGGACGATGGAAAATTAAAAAAAAAAGACAGTAATTATCTGTGTAGTCTGTTTCCCAACGAAAAAGACAACTTGAAAAAAGATGCAAGAAATTCCGCGTTTATGAATCTCGTAGGTTCATTACTGTACTGGATTTGAGGTTCTCACATCGGTGACCAAGAACAGTGCTGCCCTCTAGGGTGTGTCGCCATATAGTCCGACAGAAGTTCAACCAGACGCACTTCCTACATCTTCAGGGTCGAAGAGTAAGCCAAGCAAGTACAGAGGGTGGAGTTACCTTGCTTTTCCGGCCTACTTTTAGACTCTGAAAATGGAAACATTGTATTCCTCCGAACATCGGATTATCTCCCAATTTAAGAACCCTGATGCTGGGAGTCGATCTCCTACTGGTTCCCCTGGAGGTCGCGACTGCCCCGGCAACAGGAAGCAGCAAGTGAGAACTCACGGTGTCTATGCCGACGAGTATCAGGTCCAGAGCAAATATGTAGGCGGTTTTGGGGTCGGCCTCCGCAGCTAGGATACGCTCCAGCAGCGACAGGTCGCTCTCGACCACAGAGCGCTTCGTCTTGAGGCGCTCGACGGCGGCGTCGATGTACTTCGTGCACACCCTGCGAAATGGCATGTTGTTCTGTCAGAGATAGCTGCATACAGCATGCTTTCATTACCATAACTGGTTATTACTAAGTTNTCCCACACCAGGAGAAACAGCCCATAGTACCTATTTGGCAGGATGCCATAAAAGTCTCAGTAACCAAAATACAAGAAACGATGATAGTATTAAAAAAAAGTAAAGCTATCCCTGTAACTGGCCGTGGAGGCTCATAGGGTTGTGAGATGTTGAGGCTCCCACATTTTCTCTAGAGAATCGGCTCACAGATGGCGGTGAGGTTGTCAGCCTTACGCACCGGGCGCCCTTTACCCCCAGGAAATTTCCTGGTACTAACTTCTCTTAGAGGCTGGGTGGACCCCATGGCCATAGTGCGGCTGGAAGGATTACGTCAGTTGAAAACTCCGGTGACCTCACCGGGAATTGAACCCGCGACCTTGCGGCACGTAGCAAGTACGCTACATGGTAGGAAGGAGCAGAAAATGAAGGAAATGGCGCGAGCCGGGCAGGTCGGTGTATTGTGCCTGTCTGTAGGCAGTTCCGCGATGCAGCGGTCTGTAGCCTGAGGCATCCAACTCACTGTATGAAGTAGTCCATGTTTCGCACGTATCTGGTCCACAGTGGTGTGGGCACGTAGCGCCAGAAGGGAGCCTTCAGCTCCAGGATAGCCACGTTCCGCAGCGCGTACTTCGCAGCGTCTATGATCTTCTGGGGCTCAGAGTCCCTGGGCAAGTTGGGGCGCAGACAGCCCAGTCGCACGTCCAGGGCCACCCTTCCGATACCTGTGACAAGATCGAACAGTGGGGTGAGGTGGGGTGAGACTCAGTCCACTCCGTACGTAGGCCACTAGCCCCGGATGATAGATGATGAGTGGGGAACAGTCAGTGGAATGAGAATTGGCAGGGGAAACCGAAGTACTCGCAGAAAACCCGCCCCAGTGCCAGGTTGTCCACCAAAAATCCAACACGACATGACCTAGGCTCGAACCCTGGCCGCCGCCATAGGCAACCGGCTACTAACCGCCTGAGCTATGGCACGGGCCCGGTGTGAGTGTGGGCGGTTAACAAACATCCCCAGACTAGTGTCACTGAGTCGTCGATGACAGTCTGTCCGTCGTGGTGTCCTGAAATCGTGTCAGTACAAGTCTGTCCTTTGTCATGAGAAAGAGACAGTAGTGAGAAATAATAAGAGTAGTTGAAGGAGAAATGAGAGAGACTTTATCATGGTGGAGGGGGGAGAAAGAACATCATATTATTAGCCGGTGCCCAAGTTCGCCCGCTCGTCATGGTGAAAAGTACATTTGTATCAAAATGAAGAGGTTAGAAGAAGTTCGCCTCTGTGATATTTACAAAGTCAGTCCGTACCTCACAGGGAACACTCCGTCTCCATAACAAAGCCCAACCGGTTAATGCTGTTTAGGGAAACAGTCGCTGTTTATTGTGAGAACCATACGGAACACACAGATACACTGTGTGGGCAAAATGCAGAGCTTTTTACTGTTAAGTAGCTGGTATATATAGTTACCACTGTACTTTAGAGATTTACATTCTTAGTAATTAATGTCTATGCTACCGAACCTTGCGGTCAGGTGGTTTCATGTTCATGAAGTCCTGGGTTTAGATCTTGGCCTAGACATGAGGTATCCTGACAAGTTTGTGCTTGCTCTGGGTCCTGCCCAGTCTGTACAGGGGGCTCTTGCTCCGGCAGTAAAGGGAGTGGAGCTTGAAGCTGACAGCGAGTACCTAGCTCACCTCCTTTTAGTGCCGAGGTTATGTATGCATGGAACTATACCTCCACTCCTCCATGACACTTGATTGAAAACTTACACAATTTTTTTTTTTCTTTCTTATGTGTCGTACACGAATTTAGCTGTCAGCTGGTAATTAATCGTACCAGGTGCCTGTTTACTTACATTCCAGTGACCACTTGTGAATTTCATTGTCAAAGTCGGCTGGCAACTCCTTCCTCTCGTCCCTCATTTCGCACATCCTGGAAATAAACACACATCTCACAGGACCAGCTGTCGTGGTTCCTCGCAGTCGCTCCAGGCAGGTGCCACGATTCATGTCTTAAATTAGGCCATGACCGCTTTCCAATTCACTGTTTTACTATACGCTGTATATTGTGGTACTCATAGGGACGTAGCCCTGAAGGATCGTGCCAGTCACCAGACCCGCGGTGACCTAGGGTCCGTCGCTTTGCCTCTGCTAATGCTGTTCGTGTGTTTGTGTCGCCTGTTTCCTGTGGGTGTGGAACTTGGTCTCTAACATTAAGTGTAGAACGCAAAGTAGGCCTATTCGAGAGCAGATAGCTGAGGAAGTAACAGGAGACTGGAGAAAATTACATAATGCAAAGCTTCATGATGTGCACTGTTCGTCAGATATTGGTAAAGGTATCCCTCTAACAGGCCGTGAGGGCCAATAGGGTTGTGAGACGTCGAGGCTCCCACATTTTCTAGACATTTGGCCCACAGATGACGGTGAGGTCAGCCTTACGTGCCGGCCGGCCGCCCTTTACCCCCAGGAAGATTCCTGGTATTCATTTCTGTTAGAGGCTGAGTCGACCTCGGGGCCATAGTGCGGCTGGAAGGATTAGGTAAATTTAAAAATTCCAGTTACCTCATGGGGACTCGAACCCGCGACCTTCCGGCTTGTAGCATAGTACCTCAACCAACTACGCTTCCGCGTGCCCCCTCATCAGATATTAGGGTGATAAAATTAGGGATGGCTTGGGTGGGGCATGACGCCCGAATTATAGGAAGGAAAAATGCATACCAAGTTTCGGTAGGAAATCACGAAGGAAGATCTAGGCATACATTTGAAGCTAATGTTAAAATGGACGTTGAGGAAGTAGGCTCTGAGAATGTGGATTGGATTCATCTGACTCAGGATATGGTCCAATGAAGAGCTCTTGCAAACTCAGTAATGAACTTGCGGGTTACATAAAATGTTTTTAATTTCCTGACTAGCTGAGCGACTGTTAGCTTCTTAAGAAGAATATTTCCCCCTGGAGTTAGTTAGTTACGTTGTAAGTTATTAATGGTTAATGGTAGGCCGCGCCATAGCTCAAGCGGTTAGTCGCTGGTTTCCCACCGCGGCGGCCCGGGTTCGATCCCGGGACTGGTCAAGTGGGATTTGTGGTGGACAAAGTGGCGCTGGTGCGGGTTTTCTCCGAGTACTTCGGTTTCCCCTGCCAATCTTCATTCCACCAATTGCTCCACAATCACCCTCACCTATCATCTGGGGCTGGTACAATAGGCCAGAAGTGGCCGCAGTACAAGGGACTTAGTCCCACCCCACTAGCAATACAAAAATGGATATGTGGCGAGAGGCGCATGTATATTCGTGATCCTGAGTTGTTAATCGATTTAAGCTTTAAAGCCGGGATAGCTCAGCCAATGTGATAGCTAGATGAGGGGCTATACGGCCGAGGAATCGAGGTTCGATTCCCAGGAGGAAGAAACTTTTTCTCTTCACTCCATCCAGACCGGCCCTTAGGGCCACCAAACCTCAGGCTCTTAACCTGGGGGTTAGGAGGCCGGGGCGTGAAACTGACCGTTCTCCATCTAGTGCCGAAGTTAAGAACTCGTACGTAGATCTCTGCTTTGCCTTGTAAAGCTGTAGAGTTCGGTACGCCCTATGTATTTGCACGTTGAACTTCTGTGAGGGCAGAAAGGGACGGAGCAGTGCTCACCTCTGTATGAAGTACTGCGTCACCTCCTCAATGGGCTGGATGTACTTCCTGACCGTGTGCAGCTGCAGGATGGGTTTCTGCACTTTGGTGCGGAACACTCGCCATTGCTCCCCGTGCCTGCAATATCGGTAAAGTAAGTGGTAGCAATACAACAAGAGTTCTGTCGGCGCGCCATAGCTCGAGTAGGCAAGTCCTGTGCGGCGGGGTCTCCGGTTTGGCGAATTGGGTTCACGTCGCAAGTGGAGAAGGTAATGTAGTAACTTTTTTGATGATGACGTCACGACCTACGTCATTGTCTGATCGTGACGTAAACGTGAAAGATGTTTGAGGCACAGTTTCTCTAACTCCATGGACCAGAGCCCCTCTGGTCTATATGAAACAGCCGAAATCGCCAGTCACTAGCGAAAGTTATTGCTACGAGCAGAATGACTGGAGAGTCACATAGGGAGGGGGGTCGATTCATGGGACTACCCCGTTTCAACTTCCGGCTTACTTTTCTGCCATGAAGATGGAAGCAACGGGTTCCTCAGGCTATCTGCCAGACTGTACTGCGTCACGTCCCGGAGGGCAGAAATTTTTAGAATCATCACTCAGAGGACTTCAGAGGACTTCTAACCAACAAGAAGCTCACTGACATTTCGGAGGTACTTATTGCCTCCATCTTCAGGGTGGAAAAGTAGGCCAAGCAACCAGTATGCTTGGCCAGCTGAGCGACTAGCACCTCTCCCTGCAGTTGCTCATTCAAATCGGTCCATTGTTCTGCTGTTTCGTACTCACACAATTTTTGTACTAATCTAAACTCTCTGGTATGCGTAGTTAATGTTCAAGTGCGCATGCGCATACTTACACACCCACGACACCTGGAAGCGCCCCGAAGAAGTCCTTGCGAACGACGCTCTTGTAGTAGACGAGGCAGGGCATGGAGGGGCGGAATGGCGTCGGGCCCTCACCACGATAAACCTTTTCTATGGCATCGGCGTCGTACACGAAGAGCAGGTCCGGACGCCCCACGAGACCGGACAACTTGACGATGTTGCCATATTGGGCGCGGAACTGCGCGGAGCATTTGGCGAGATCCGCCACCCGGTGCTGACCTGCGCACACAGTGTCTCACAGGGGTATACTGCCAGATGTATGTGTGTGACTATAGACGGGGTTTGGATTCCTTAATGGATTTATTGACCACTTACACGATCCGCAACTACAAGCAGTTACAGCGTCATCGCTGATCTCCACAATTTACAAATCACCACAGCACCCGCTAAGCCCTTTTCCAGTCTGCTTTGCCTTCATCAACCGTCACCTGGCAACGGCTTCTAACAGTGGAGATTCTTCAGGTTCTATCTTCACAGCCTCCCCTGCACAACTCCCATCAACTGACTTTGTCCCTTGCTTATAACATCTGGACACGGACCGCGTAGGAACACCCCGTTCCAAACAGTAACTATCATTGCGTGCGTATTCGTTGCCGCGGGAACGTGTTTCCAAGTTGTTGCCCAGAAACGGTCATTGTTTACAGAGTCACCGCTTAGCAACGGGTCTATACTCCACAATATTAATCCAGGCAGTGTCTCATAATATACGTGGAGGGTCTGAAGAACACCACGAAATCCTGAGTCAGGATGTGAGGTGCCCACATGAGATTCTCACCCAGCACCTCCCAAACGAACCTAGAACGTACATCGATTTGTTCAATTAACGCAATTAGTTTCCTGTTCATGGTTTACATGACGTCAATAACTCGGACTGTTAAGAATCGAATTGGAATTGTTGTGGTCTAATTTAAGTTCCTGTCTGGAGGGACTGAGTAAACCCACATAAACCTTCTGACAGGATTGCCGGTGTCTGAATCCCAGACCTTGAGGACGCGGAGCAGAAGCAGTAGTCGGTAGATACTTGGACAAGGATAAACGCAACGTCTGCATCTTTTTTTCCTTATGACAGTGACCCAAATTACAACTGCATGACGCAATTCACACTTTCATGTGCCATTTTACCGTGAAGATAATTACGAATCTTCAAGGTTCTCTGATTCGGTTAATTCAGACCCCTTTAACACGATTGTGTCTGTCTGTCTGTCTACCTGTGGCTCTACACTCCTTTTTTTTTGGACCATGACCTCTTTCTCAGTTTCTTTATCCTATACACAGAACAAACGCACATACACAGCCATGCCTCGAGCGGGATTCGAACCCACGATGGAGGTATCAGCCCTTCGCAAGGCCGCTACCTACACACAAACAGAATAAATTCACACAGCCATGCCTCGAGTGGGATTCGAATCCACGATGCAGGTATCAGCCCTTCGCAAGGCCTCTACCTACACACAAACAGAATAAATGCACACAGACAGCCATGCCTCGAGTGGGATTCGAACCCACGATTCAGGTATCAGCCCTTCGCAAGGCCGCTACCTACACACAAACAGAATAAATGCAGACAGACAGCCATGCCTCGAGTGGGATTCGAACCCACGATGCAAGTATCAGCCCTTCGCAAGGCCGCTACCTACACACAAACGGCATAAACGCACACAGACAGCCATACCATGAGTGGGATTTGAACCCACGGTCCCAATGTTCGAGCGAGCGAAGACAGTTCATGCCTTCGACCGAACGGCCACTGGAATCGGTTTTTGTCACGACTAGACAATAATAATTGGCTGGGTTTCCAAGTGTTTAACTGGCTTGAACAAACCGATTTCGTGTTCTTGGCGTGTGTTGGAATTATCCTTTCCCCGTAGTTAAAACCTTTATTTGGGTTTGTAGTGCTGCAGATACACGGCCTGTCCTCAATTCAGTTTCTGTTGGCGATGAAGTGTTAACCCGGCCTAGAGACTCTGTTTACAGGGCGTACTTTAGAGGTTTGGAGTGGATTGAGTTGGCTCAGGATAGGGTCCAGAGGTTGCCTCTTATGAATACAGTAATGAACGTACATATTTTGTAGTGGAGGGAAATTTTTTGAGCAGCTGAGCTACTGTTAACTTCTCAAGAAAGACTTTATTCTGTAGGGTTAGTCTGTTCGTATTGCATGTTATGCCTGGTGTTTAGGAGGCTGTACTTCATAACGTCTCTTTTAATAAGATGATAGTATCACATGAAGAAAATGAATTGATTTAATTATAAACTGTTGATTTAAACACGAAAATTAATACCGCGTTAATGTTGCATATATCATTTTATTTAATTTTAAATCAGTTTAAAATCGTAATAGCTTGAAGAAATTATAAATTCATACAAAATTTTAGTCGGAAAACCTGAAGGAAAATGAACATTTTGGAGACCTGAGTGTAGATGGGAGAGTAATGTTAAGTCTTGATGAAGTAGTGTGTGTGTGTGCTCAGGATATGAGCAGCTGAGCGACTACTGGCTGATCAGGAAGTATTCTACTCCACTGAGTTGAGTGCCTGTACGCTTTACGTTTCTTGCTTTGTGCATAAAAGGAAGGCTTGAAACGTCTTCATAGTCACGCGCGAGCCCGCTCTGCTGTTGTCCAAGAACCGGTTCGCCGGTTTCACCGCCGTCGGTATGAATGACAATGAGCAGCTGCTGATCTGTACCCAGAATTCTGTCGGTCCAGTCCAGTCCAGGGACTGATTCCGTCGAGTAATCATTTCGTTCTGAATGAACGCTATCGACAGGAGGAAACCTGAACAGTACGGCCTTCCGGATTATAAGGAACGATCTCCTCAGTCTTCAGGGCCGAAGAGATAGGCCGAGCAGGAAACAGGCGGAAAACTTAGCCCTTTAAAGGGCCAGTATTATTTACTCTGTTACCCTTACTCCAATTGGTTTTCTCAGGTCCCCGGTTCCTATTTCCCTTTCTCTCTGTATTTTTACCATCTGCGATGAAGATGGAGGCAGTAAGTTCCTCCGAAACGTTGGTAATAATTACCAGGATAGGAAACACTAATCATTATTTACTTAGTTATTTAATGACAGTTGCACGGCCGAGGAATCGGCCTTCATTTCCTGTCAGTGCAAGAGATTTTTCTCGTCACTGTGTCCAGGCCTATTCTGCGGTCCACCCAGCCTCCTATCCAACGGGTAGCGTGGTCTCTCCCTTCGGTAGGCGGCTCTGGTGCCGACGTGCAGAATGCGTGGAGATGTACCTCCACTCCCCCATAATCTTCATGACGTTTGTGATTAATTAGTTAAGCACAGGGACGACTTTACTTAACCGTGCGCTGTCAGTACCTCTCTGACTGTGAATTGCAAAGGATGTGGGCCACTCTTGACCACTGCTGGCACGTACCGATAATGGGGAGCAGACGCCACGTGTTCCCGATGAGGGGCAGAGGCGTGGGCCCAGGCACCTCGCTGTAGGGCCGAGCTGTAGCCAACTCGTCTGCACCACACTGGAGAGCTGTGAGGTCCTGGTGATGGGAAGACACTGGGCGCAGTGACACCCACACAAGTCGGGAGATCGGGGGGGTCACACATCTCATCCTGAGCTGTAGTGCGGCGACCTTGCAAAGAAATGAAGACATGTGGAAACGGAAGTTCTGGTTTGGAGATCTTTACAGAGGTTTCGGAGCAACCTGTTGCTTGATTGACGTAGCAGGTTCCTCTTTTGTGCCACAGCTCAGAAGACATGATCTTCACAGTTACTTGATGTTTGTTTAATGACGCTGTCAGCAGTTCACACAAATGCTGTGTCTATAATGTTCAGTTTTAAAATGATTGGTGAATAATGAATTGAAATGGATGTGGAAAACCACGGAAAATGTCTGTTGGAAAAGTCAGTCTACGGGCTCGGAAGCTGCTACCGTAACTTCACAGTTTGCGCCTGTTGCTTGCGCAGAATCTGGGGCACTGGTTCTGCGCTCTTGTGAGCACGGTAATTAACCTTCGGGTCCCATAAAAGCCCGGAAATTACTTGTGAAGAGGCAGAATCACCAATTATAACTAACCGTGAAGAAGGCCCCCAAATTTCCCACTCGAAAGGTTCAGTTATTTACGTTCAGTGATAAATTAAAATTTAGGTGAAAGTTATCTCTGTGCTTAATTCATTAAGCACCGCGCCATGAAGACGTATGGGGAAGTCTTGACCTCAGCACTAGATGGAGGTGATGGTCAGCTTCACGCCCCAGCCGCTTTACCCCCAGGGAAAGAGTCCCTGATACAAATTGGACAGGGGGACGGGTGGGTCCGTAGAAAAAGGAAAAATCTCTCGCCCCTGTTGGGAATCGAACCGAGTTCGTTCAGCCCCTAGTCCAGTTGACACAAAATCATAGGTCTCAATGATGTATTCGAGACTCATTTTCGTCTCACTTTAACCAGCCAATACCGAGTCAGACATGAAGTCTCAAAACGTAAGCACCGAGAATCTGATAATGTGCTGCGTGATGTTTTTGGAAGGGGGATTACTTCGCCACGCTTTCACGATCTAGACTATATAGCGTCGAATATTGGGATGGCTGATGAATCATGATTTGGAAGGGAGCGACATGGCCTTGTCGAGGTGCTATCCTGGCATTTTACTGGGGGGACAGAGGAAAACCACGAAAAACTTCAGCAAAACCTCCCGAATGTGAGTAAAAAACGTTACCGCCACATGAACCCGCTCGGCCAAACAGGGCGCCAGTAGATGAATATAGAGTAATTGTGGAATGATTATTAGCAGGGGAAAACCAAAGACACTCGGAGAAAAACCTGCTCCACTTTATGCCCCATAGATGTCACATGAATCATGCGGGGCTCAACCCGAGGCTCCGAGATGAGAAGCTAACGTACAGCAGACAGCAGCATTCTGTAGCAGTTCAGAAACTGCTGTCTCATCTAGAATACCGTTCGCTGTATAATCCAGATTGAACTTGCTTTCCAGTTTAACGAATCTGGAATGTTCCTCTTGCCTTGCGATTGTCTGCTGTCCACATTCTCCGACTTTCACTCAGTGGCACCAGACCAGAGCAGATCCTTCAAGCATACAGTTCAGCGTTATTTTCACGTGATGCTGGAGCAGTCCGCCGCGTGAAGAAAGCACAAGGCACATTTTGGTGAAATCGCAATAAGAAGATGCTAAAGTGAACCTATAGATAAATCGGTATAGCGAAGGGCTACGGGCTGGACGGCCGAAGTTCGAATCCCAGTAGTGGCAGGAGACTTTTTTCTCTATTCCACAGCATTCAGACCGGCCCTGGAGCCCACCCAGCCTCCTATCCAATGTGTACCGGGGGCCTCTCTCCCCTGGGGTAAAGCGACCAGGGCGTGAAGCTAACCACTCACCTCCAACTAGTGCCAAGATCAAGAAAACGTGGATCTATACCTCCACTCCCCAATATATCTTTGTGGCATGCTGCTTAATTAATTAAGCACAAAGACAATTTTACCTTTAAAGTTAATCTCTTATGTTCTCCGTGTCAGTTTGTCTTCTGTCCTCGTGTAAGATATCGAGAAATATGATATCTGGGAATTTTAATGTAGTCTGTTGACACGTTCTAAATTTAGTTAAAATCCGTCAACAATAATGAACACTTTGCCCCATGAACTGTGCATATTTCTGCACATGCCTTGGGCGGAGGAAGAGTTCCTGCTAAACGTTAGTAGATGTGTACCACACTGCACGGCGTCATTGAATGTCGCCTTCCATTTATCACTCCTACTACTTATACTGGAAGTCTCACGATCGCATCTGGGCCCCAAGACCGGCCATCCATCCTACTTGGGGGGAGGGGGTTGTGATTTTCCCTCAGCCCTACCAGGCAAGTTCCGGCAATGTATTTCAAATTAGGCCACGACGGCTACCCCCGGGCTACTGGTAGCGTCGTTAAACAAACTACAAGTAATACATGGCTCCATATCTGAATATCAGAAATTAATATTTTTGAAGGGGGAGGTGTCTAGGCTATGGTAGGATGAGTCATGAATGATGAATTGGAAGGGATTTAGAAGGAGACGGTCGTGGCCTGGTGAACGTATTACGTCTGCATTTGCCTGGAGTTGCTGAGAAAAGCCATAAATCACTTAAGTCAGGGTAGCCGATGTCCCGTCGGAGATACGAACCTCCCACCTTCCGAATACAAGTCTAGAGCGTTACCACTATGCCATCCCGCTCAGGTTAATGTTAATGTCTCATACAATGAAGAATTCTATCTTCTGGGATATGAATGTTGGCCGACGTTTCAGAAGAACATGTCCTCCAACTTCAGGGTCAGAGTAAGCAAAGCAAGAAAACAGCAGCTCTGCTGCCTACCTGCTTCATGCTGCTTTCTTTCGTGGCTTGTTCTCGGACACGTTGCTCCGAAACATCGGTTGACTATCACCAGACTACACGGCGTCATAGTGTGAGAACAGAACTTGGGCTCACCTGTTCGCTGGACGGGCCTGAGGCAGACAGCCACTGGAGCACTCAGCACACGAACTGACCGCAGCATCGCTCTGCGTTNCCCCCCCCCTCCATCATCCCTAATCCAGTGGAATTCGATATGTGACGCCCAGTCTGCATGAACCGAATACGGACGAGGCGAGCCGGTTACCGCAGCGGTACTGTCTGATGCCCGTCGCTGTTTTCCTCAGCCCCTCTAGGTAACATCCGGGACAGACCGCAGCCGAAGGGCCGGAAGGGAGTTACAACTACTCTGCTCTTGTTATGTTACTACTGGGTTGTTGGGAAGTTGGTTGTTCCCTTGTGCCCCCTCTGGACGTGTCCTTGATTTAACTTCGGATATTGTACCGTTGTCATAATCGTCATGAAGTCTGTAGGTCTGTTCCTGCGAATGGCAAGATGCCGCGCCCTCTGTCGGGAGCGGAATGGCGGGCTTTTCCTACCCTTTCAGAATCTTCTCTCCAAACACATCTGTAGGTTGCAGTTCTTTGCGTGGTGATGCTGAAACTCAGCCATCTGCAACTCCATGTGGCCTGTTTCTTTGTTCCTTCTGTATCACTGCTTGGTTTTACGTATATGTAACAAGTAAAAATGCCCTGTGATCAATTAAACTCCACACCGTGAAGACGTATGGAGGGGATGGAGGTATAGAGCTTGGCACAAGGTAACGAACGACCTACGTACCATTCAGAATCCACGGGGGGCGAGGATTGTGTCTTGTTGTTCTGCTCCCTTCCAAATTAGTTCGTATATGAACAGAGCTCAGATCTACACTCGTCGTCCGTCCACTGGTCAAGTGACCTGACAATCACCAACGTTTCGGCCCGCCTAAAAATAGGTCCTGTTGCTTCGTGTGCCGGTAACGCGCTTAGGTCGAGTCGAGTCTGAATAACCTATCTGCTGTTACGTTCATCAATTGAGCATTGTTGTCTGTTACTACTCGTGCGGGTCTCGACCTCAGACCCCCGGACCTAACCTCTATGTCTGTGTCTCGGAGGCCGGCTTCATGTCTTGACCTCTTCGCCTCTGAGGGAAATAGCCGAGTGGGCCCCTGCCCCTGCCGGAGCAGAACCCCGATTGGTACTAGGGCTTGAAGCAACTCAGGAAGAGAACAGCTGGCATCCCTGTCGCTTTTCTCTCCTCGTAAGGGGGTGGGGGGGAGACGTTCTGGAAAATCATGGTACGTCTTCCGTTCCGTTATGGCAAGATCTGATGCGTGTCCAGGTGACGGGGGCATGTCACATACACACCCTAGAATTGTCTTGTTGTTGCTTCCTTTAAAACGGACGATTTCACTTCAAAAACAACATTATTCTAACGAAAATATTTGGAAGGAAATGTTTAAAGTATTCTTGTAGATCTGTATCTTAGGATCCTGTTGCTGTAAGCATTAGAATTTATTTTCCGTTGTTTGCCGTCCACTATGAAGCAATATCAGCCCGCCTGATGATTGCCGAGTAGGCCTAAACATGCAGTGAGGTGACGAAATTTAAAAATGATTGAATTTTAAATGTTGATATTGCTGCATGACGGACGGTAAAAAAATAAAACTTTTCCTGTAACAGGCCGTGAAGGCCCATAGGGTTGTGAGAGGTCGAGGCTCCCACATTTTCTAGACAGTCGGCTCAAAGATGGCGGTAAGGTTGTCAGCCTTATGCCCCGACCGCCCTTTACCCCCAGGAAGATTCCTGGTACTCATTTCTGTTAGAGACTGAGTCGACCCTAGGGCCATAGTGCAGCTGGAAGGATTATGTGAACTGAAAAATCCAATCGCCTCGTCCTCAGGGCTCGAAGCTGCGACCATTCGACCAAGCACGCTACCGCGTGAGGGACAGTAAACAACGGGAAATACTTGATAATTACCTTATAGAGGTTTTACGCGCAATGAAAATACGCCTAAGTACATGGAGCTTGTGTAATTCCTGACCTGTCCGTTTGGGGCGCATGCATCATCCTATGTTCAGTCTTCCTAACTTGTTTGGAATGTATGAGCCCCTCTCCGGTGCCTGAACGGTAGCATTTTACTCCTATCCGTCACGCGTCGGTGCCGGTGAATATGGACATTCTAGTTACAAAATTGGAGGCCCTTCAGATCGGTCCAAAGACACAAAATGGCGATTTTTTTTCCCCCCGAAATCGGCTGTAGCTATTTTGATGAAATTTCAATAATATTTGGAGACCGTACCTCAAGGCGGCATCTTTAGGAAAACAACGGTATGCACACTAGGGGCCCAGTCGCAAGATGTCAGTTCTTTTTCGAGTCCGGCTTTACCTGTCAGAAGAATTTCATTCCTTTTCCATATAGAGGAACCACCAGTGGTGCGCCGAGCAGCAGTGAGTTTAGTTTCCAGGGTAATACAGTCAATTCATCTGTGTATATGCATTGTCTTTGCAACGGTTCTTGAGAAGTGTGGAACTGAGGGCGGGCCTCTCATGCGTCTGGGCCGTGTGGCCAGGCGCAGTCAATGCAGAGAAGCGAGACTTAGCAATGAGGCCAAGGCTGCAGAGCGCTTCTGCTCCATCCGCTAGCGATAAGTGGATTTACTAACAAAGGGTGGAGTTGTGATGGTACTTGCTGTGTGCTCCGGTCACTGTAGCAGTCCCGCGGCTGTCTGGACGCTAAATGATTGTTACGCAACACGAGGAAAGTCGCCCATGGCCAGTTATAATGTGATACCAAACACAGGTGCCCCCTCGGGGTCCCGAAAGTGCTGTTTCATTAGCAGAGTCCCAATTTGGCCTTCGTCAGCGTCGAGTGGTAGGACAGTAATGCGCGAATAATTCGGGAGGATTTGCAACGAAGCGGTTTTGGCATAATTTAGTGACTGAGGAAACCCGCGTAAAACTTCAGTCGAGGTTCGAATCGAGAACCTCGCGAATACAGATGTAGAGCGCTACCGCTACGCCACTTCCTCAGAAAGAGCTGATCGTCGCTCAGCTGGTGAAGAATTTCCCCGCCCTTTATGGAACCCATAGCGTCGTCAGATAGTGACGTATTGCCGTTAGCAAGTCGCCGGAATCTATTTTCAGCATACACACAGGACCTGTCCCTGAAGGTCGGCAACACACACATCTGCTTGGGCCATGAGAGGGGAACTTTATATTTGGTTAACCAAAACAAATCGACGAAGGATGTCCACTGTGTAAGTAAGTAAGAAGGCAGAATGCGCTTGCGCAATAACGCTCGGGTTACGTAAGAACCGTGCATGGAATTTCGGCAGAAAGTGTGCCAGTGTTTGACCGCTGGGCACATCACGAACTTGTAAAGACTCAAAGGTCAAATGACAAGCCATGAACTTCCCTCCCCACACACGCGCTGCCTGGTTTACAGACACGTTCTACAACGAGCTTGGGGCGCCTGGAATGAGACGTTGTACAGCGAGCTGGGGGCGCCTGGAATGAGACGTTGTACAGCGAGCTGGGGTCGTCTGGAATGAGGCATTGTACAGCGAGCTGGGGGCGCTGGAATGAGACGTTGTACAGCGAGCTGGTGGCGCCTGGAATGAGACATTGTACAGCGAGCTGGGGGCGCCTGGAGTGAGGCGTTGTACAGCGAGCTGGGGGCGCCTGGAATGAGGCGTTGTACAGCGAGCTGGGGGCGCCTGGAATGAGGCGTTGTACAGCGAGCTGGGGGCGCCTGGAGTGAGGCGTTGTACAGCGAGCTTGGGGAGCCTGGAATGAGGCGTTGTACAGCGAGCTTGGGGCGCCTGGAATGAGGCGTTGTACAGCGAGCTGGGGGCGTCTGGAGTGAGGCGTTGTACAGCGAGCTGGGGGCGCCTGGAATGAGGCACGTGGTTAAACATCTTACATGCTGAAAAGAATATAAAATGCGACGTTGCTACAGGCGGAGCAGTTGCATGTGAGAGTGCGGGTAGGATTCATCTGGCTCAGGATAGTGTGAACACAGATATCAACTTCGGATTTCATAAAAGACAAGGAGTTTCTTGGCCGGTTTACTGAGCGCTAGCTGATCAAGCAGATCTGCGTTCTGTGCATTTAGTTAGGTGCAGTAAACCCTCGCTAATCCGGAGTGTTTTTGTGGGAGATGATCTGGATTAGTGAAGCAAAAGTACTCCTAAAACAAAAGGAATCTTAGAAAACAAATAAATGGAAAATGGAAGACCCAGGAGCTGTACTTGTTTTTGAACGGAATAATACAGGTTCGAAGAAACTGTCAAGTTTTGTCTGAACAGACCAGTGACTCATCTGTCATGTGTCTTTTAAAGCATGTACTCAACTGTGAACATAATTTTTATATTTCGATCCGGATTATCCGACAACCGGATTAGCGAGTGTTTACTGTGTTTGTTTCTTACACTACATGTGAGAGTCACGCTACAAATGGCCGTACACAGCTCTTTGTAACAACAGCTGTATCGGAAGCAAGGACCCTCACTAGAAACGTTTCCTGCTGCCACAATGAAAGTGCAGCTGACTCACTGTACCTACTTTCGTTATCCGCGGGTTTGTCTGAATGTCATGAAGAGAATCAACTTCCTATCCAGCGGGTACCGCGGGTAAAGCTGACCACTCAAGAATGGTGGAACTATGCCTCCACTTCCTTATACGTCTTCATGGTGTGATGCTTACGTAATGAAGCACAGGGACAACTTCGCCCCCCCCCCCTGTGCTCCTGTGTGTGCGGCGGTTTTCAGGAACGCAACCCCAACCTATAACGAGAGTCAACTGCTTGTTGAAGAATGCCGTCTTTTGGGATGTGGCGCCATGTAATCTCGTGTGAGCCGACGTTTCGGAGGAACGTATCGCCTCCATCTTCAGGGTAGAAAAATCCGCGAGCGAGGAACCAGCGTGAGCAGGTGGCTGCAGCTATTTTTTTTTTACAACTTGGCACGGCGGCCACTAATTGGCCTATTGTAGCCTGCCCCGGGTGATTATGATGATGGAGAACACCTGTAGTCAAGATAAAGGCCTGCGTATTCTATGGAGCAGTCTTCCTACAACTTTTGAACTTCACGCCGTGAATATTCAGCGAATTCGCGATCTCAGTGTCCCGCAAGGGTTGTAACTTATAACGGTGGGG